CTTCACGTTCCCCAATGGAACATAGGGCTTCAAGCTAGTGGCTTGAAGTTTCTGTAGCAGTGTTTCTTTTAAAGGATGGGGTTGCTAGCCTCATGCCCAACCTTTCCTCTTTACCAGCATTATTTCTGGCTTAGCGAGGTAAAGGAGTGCGCCGGCCGGGGATCGAACCGCGGAAGAGCATTATCCACTAGACCACTTGAGCCACTGTAAAGACTCGTTATGAACGAAATCAATCCTGACTATATATATCAATAAAAGAGATGACACTTGGAGTGCAGCTATGTCTGATACATAAAACTTCCAAGAGAAAAAATAGAAACAAACTAAGGAATCTATCACGGTATTACCGATAACCTATATTGTGACAGATAGGTGGGAAAAGTCACCTCTTGAGACGTAACCATGAAAGTATGTTGGAGATATGGGAAAAATCGTCGTCAATGGTGCAGATGCATTCATTCTTTGAAATCTCCCATATTCATTAAACCCTTCATGTACCTTCATGTTGTACTTCTGAATCTCCTTTTTTCTTTCTTTCTTTTCTCCAACGTTGTGTGATATATACGGAGTATGGCAACTCGTACTGTTGCACTTTTATACACAAAATTCTATGCTGAAACTGAGTCAGACAGTTATGTAGATAACAGATTTACAGAATTAAAAACAGAATATGAAAACGTTTTTCGGACACAAATCCATTGGGTGAATGCAATCGAATCAACCTATAGGTTAGAAAGTCACAAAACAGAGGTATCACTGCTAGATTTCGTTATAAAAAAGAGACAACATGGAAGGGCGAAGTTCAACAATAGCGTTCCAGGAGTGTTAACGCTCAAATGACCTTGAACGCATGCTAGTCGTTGGCTAAACACATCTTTCATTATCATACCTGAAATATCAACGCTATTCACCAACTTAGGAGCAAATTTCACCCAGATCACGTTTTTCTAAGTACTGTTTGGACAATGTGTTAATAGCTCGTTAGGGTCAGGATTAAGCTTTTGGTTACGATTAGGAATAGATTTATAGTTGATGTCATTTATTTTAATTTTTTTTATTATCCACATTTTCCTGGTAAGTAGTCGTCTATCCTCTTGCCGGAAACCATAATGATTCAACAGAGGGCTTTTTTGGAAGACTGCAAGCAGGATAAGAGAGATGAACGATTCACAAAAACACTTTATCTGTAGTCATCTAGGTGAATACATGTACAGAAAGTAGTCTAACTTAGCAACTGATACTCCTCGTTACAACCAGGACGTATTTTCAAGTCATGTCAGAGAAAGACAACATGTTTAATACGTTTTCAAGCATTTTCTTGTCAATATACATCGTCAGTTGTTGAGCAAACATTCCTCATTTTTATGATTAAACTTTGTCAACATTAGTATTTAAATGATGGGGGCTTTTGCAGGGATCTGGATTAATTTTAATGCAAATTTCGTCAAGAAACCAAACCAGTTAGAGAGTGTCAATGAAAACCATCAGGGAGCACTGAACAGCCGTTTCGTCCACGTTTGTGATTCTTCAGCAGTCTGTGTACTCAAGGATGGGAGTCGTGACCAATGGAGGGGGGGTCCACCAAATATGGTGGACATTGGTTGACGGTAACGCTGCGTCATGAAATGATACCGACATATTTCAAATAATTTTAGACTTTAAGATGCTTGAAGTGCTTAATGTTAAAGATTGCCGGTAAAGTGAAGAACTACACGTATAAAGGAAATATATATTCAATTCTTGACACGTTTTTGACCCAGACAGTTAAATACAGATGAGCGATAATCCGACATATATATATGTATATATATGTATAAAATTTCCAAACTGACCTTATTCCAATACTAAGTGATTTATAACCTGAACATTAACCTTCAAAGGTTCTTACTTCTGCGAAATTCATCGCACGAGCATCGGTAAAGCATTAGTTTCTACACTAGAAAGCGAATTCCCCTATCGGCAGTTACCTGTATGTTGTCCGGCTTACTTGACTTGTAAGAATAAAAAAAAGACTGTGTTGACCTATCAAAACTGCGGGATGTATAGTTGGTTGGTTAGAACGCATTTGATGAGCTTTAATTTTCTAATTACTGCCTAGAGATGTGCCACAAAGAACGCGATAAGACATAGTGGATGAAAAAGAGGCAGAATGACTGAGAAACAGGATCACAAGCAAATAGACTTATGAACAGTTACTTATTTACAGAAAGTGAGGGGAGGAGGAAATTGTAGCATGCTCGCCATTAAAATTATAATTTTCAGATGCGTTTGATTAGATCTCGGATCACTGATTTATCCCTACAAACCGAAAGCTGCTACCTTGACGTGGTGGTCGGGCTTGAACACCGCAATGACCTAATCAAGCTCTACTGGCTGAGAATTATGTCTCTTGAGGTCCTACCAGGCAGGTTGTTTGGATAGCGGTTAAACAAAAAACAGCTACCCAATCCAACATAATGATACATAGAAAACCACAAAATTTCATGCCGGATCGGCCGTGACCCGGATTAACAACGACCGCGCTTCCTGCTGCCGTGTCACAGGGCAGGAGTGATAAGTATGCTACTGAGGCACACCAAACAAAAGAGAACAAACAAAAACAGGCCGCGTGTGACCGGCCTCAAGCAGTTGTCCCCTGGGCTCTGCGGTCACGCAACCAACTTCCACGGTGTGGGCAGCTGGGAAGTAACAAACGCCCTCACAATCCGAAATGCACACAAAACCTCTCTAATCCTCACTTATCTTTGTCTTCATCTTCATCTCTATTACCTTACCTTCCTCCCACTGATGCAACTCCTCTACTTGATGGCTCCTCACTCCCTCTTCACTCTGTGTCCACTAAAAACGACGGAAGCCAAAAAACCACCACCGACAGTCTCCTACAAACCAAAACTTGAAAAATATACACGTTTAGACTATCCGAATAATTTAATTTAATTAAAGATTTTCCCGTCGATTAATTGAACCGAAGTACTCGGTCTCAGGTTGACATGTCGGCTTCTTGTGCAGATAATTCGACAATATCTGGGCATTTAATTGGAATTTAATTGGTGGATGGTGACTAGCAGTGGAATCCAAAGCGATAACGCTTTGGTGTCTGAAACTATGGGCACTGGGTTTGAGCCTCACTGGAAACATCATAACTCATCGGGAAATGCAGGTGCATCCAGGTGATGAGTCCCAAATAAGACGAAATGCGCATCCTGGATTCCACTGTTAGTCACCATCCACCAATTAAATTCTAATTAAATGTCCGAATGATTGACTGAGGAGTTACGATATAACGTACGATAGCTGAATTGATGAAACTCAGCTAACTTGAATAGATCTTTTATGTACCAGGCTACACTGAGCCGTACATACTGCCTGTGCAAGTGTGACGATTGATGATACAAACCAATGACTAACTAACTGAGTTTCAACATAGAACTCAGCAGCTCCAGTTGCTACACCCCACATAACACATATAAAGTTCAGGAAAAGGGAAATAGATACAAAAGAAGAACTATAGTAGACGGAAATGTGAGAGACAAAGAAGGGATGACATAGAAAAACATGAGGGTTCAATGAATATAGATTACAAAGACTGAATTCCTCTGAGTCATATTACCAATAGTCTGCAGTCATTGACTCTTAGCATCCCGAAAAGATCCCAACCACACAACAGTCTACATATCCGTACGTGGTTGGCTTAAACTTCATGGATTGATTCCAGGTTTTGATCTGACCACTCTCAACACTTTACCAACCTGATCCGATGTCAGCTAACATAGTCCCCATCGAGTAAGGCAGTGTGACTCGGCATGCTCAACGCCTGCACTAGCCATTTCAACAATCGATGCAGCTTCATAACCTCGTCAACTAACTCCGTTTCCCTATCTAGCATTCTACACCTACCCTCAGTACCTAAGTACCATCAGCCCCAAAGGGTTGATCTCTGACGAAATCTCAGCACGGGTACAGAAAGCTAGTTTCGCATATACCAGTTTACGCCGTCTCTGGCCTAGTAGACGTGATATCCCACTGGCTATCGACCAAAGGGCGAATGTACTGCTCATCAGTCCGCTCCGTCCTCCTTTATGGCTGTGGGTGAGACATGGTCATTGAGATTGGAAGACATGAAAAGCATGGATAGCTGTCTTTGATCATAGGTGCCTGCGCTCTATCTCCTGTGTGAAGTGGTATAATAAGGTGAGCAATACTGAGGTTAGGCATTGGTTGAATGCTAGGTAAGGAGGGGGAATCCATCAATGAGGTTATGAAATTACATCGACTGAGAGAGATGGTTAGGACATGTGTTGTGGATGCCTAGTCATCGCCTTCCTCGACTACCGACAATGTTAGCTGACATAGGGTCAGGCTGGAAAAGAACTAGCGGCGGTCAAACCAAAACATGGTTTCATCAGTCAATGAAATCTACAACAGTTAGTTTAAGCCAGCCAGTCACGTAGGTAGGTGTAGACTTCCTGACTGGTTAGGGTCCTCGGGACGGTAAACGCTAATGGTTGGAGACAACCGATGATGATATGGCTCAAATTCGTTCTCAATGCATCCACTCCGTGTGACTTATAATTTCCAATGAAACTATATTGTTCTTCATTATTACTACTCCTCTTGTCTCACACTTCTGTTTACTGTCTGTATCATGCATTTCTTCTACTTTCTTCTCTTGCTTTGTGTGCTACAAGGAGTGGAGTGTGGCGACTTGAACTGTCGCACATCGGTGCAAAGTTCTGTGTTGAAAACAGACAGACAGACAGACGCCTAACCTCAATATAGATCATCATAGATTACCGCTTAACACGGATGTACTGCCCAGTTAGTTGCACGGGCTGAAATAGCAAGAGTGGGATTCAAACTTAAGCCAATTAGCTAATACATCTCTGGAGCGAAAAAAACCAAAACTGCCACAGCATAAAACAGACCTGAGTACATAGTGTAATTTTTTTTATAAAAAAACAACTTAAGTAAAAAAGGGAGAACAACACTTCTCAACTTACCTGAGAAATGCATTTTTGATTTATTTGTGCGTACACACATCTTTCCAGAAGAAGAGGAAAACGAAGATGAAGAATAGGAGTGCAAATCATAAGAAATATTAGAATTAGAAGTAGAAGAGGAACAATGCGATAAATCTGAATCTCTTGTTGTCATAGGCGCTGTTGCTGGATGTGTTTTTGAACTATTAATATTATTATTACTATTATTATTGTTGTTAGATGAAAGAAACAGTAGTAATTCTGGACTAGGTACAGATTCTATAAAATGATCCGGTTTAAATTGTCTCTGATTCAATGCTCCACTGGTACCAATACCACCAACACCAGTTGTAACTATAGCATTAGTATTACTACTATTATTAGTATTATTGTTAGAGAGAATAAATTTAGAGGAACGATTCATATCATTATTGGCGCTTGTGTTGTTCAAATTTTGAGTACTACTTGAAATTGTTGAATTATTATTGTTATTATTACTATTATTGATGACATCATTCAATGTATTCGACATAAAATGAAATGGACTTAAATTTGAAATGCACATTTCATCATCAAGCAGAGATGAGGAATGTTGTTGTTGTTGGTGGTGGTGGGGGTGTTGCTGTTGTAACTTACAGGAACTAAGTGGACCTGTAGAATCATGAATACCAGGGAAATGACTGATTCTCTTCTGTAAGGATAGAGATGAGGCCTGTGGATCATTAGCAGGAGTAGCAGTATTAGTAGTAGTACTAGCTATGTACAGATCACCAGTTTTAAGCTTAGAATCTGGACAAGAAGAAGAAGAGGATATGCCACGATCATGTAGCGAAGATAATAATTGTCGACTAGGTGATGACGATGATACTGAGGATAAATTAAAAGAATTATTATTATTGTTATTATTACTATTGTATAATAACTGTGAATGAGGATGGTGATTGGATCTGTTGTTGTTTGGTTCAGTTATAGCTGTTGTCGTTTGATTACTACTACTCTCCCATGGGGTGATGTCTAAATGCTTGCCAGACGGTAGATTACCGCTTAATAAATGTGTCAAACGACGTGAATCACAATAGGTAGCTGTCGTTGTTGGAGGAGCAGGAGGGACAGGAACAGGAGAAGGAGAAAGAGCATTTTGTTTCAACAATGATATATTCGGGGAACGTGATCTTGATTCAATATTTGGTGAGGATGTCGTCTTCGAATAGAAATATTCATCATAGGCTTCAAATACCGGTTTTTTCACACGTTTCGTTGTATTTATTGAAGATCGTTGAACAGCATAACTTGATGGTTCTGAGAAAGAACCGGGACTTAGATGGGCGTTATTCACGGAACGATTATTAGCATAATTGTCTGATGGTGCTGACAACAATTGAGTATTAAAGCAGTTTTGAACAACATCACTCCGAACAGTCTGCATATTTTCTGATCGAAAAGAGCCTAAATGATCTATGGATACATTGGATTTCATATTAGGATCAATTAAGTAAGATCCAGTACGATTATTTGTTGTAAAGTTTTGAGATTCAAAATGGATTTGAGGAACATGATTCCTAGAACCAGATCGTAGATTTAAATCGTATGGTTGACTTGTTTCTTCATCCAACATCATTTCTCGGCATAATTCACTAACACGAGATTCACTGATAACACCGCCACCCGCACCAGTACTAGTGTCTTGTTCACGATAGATTAAATTTTCTGTTTTAGTCTCCCGTTCACTGGACACATTGAAATGCATTGAAGAACTTGGTGCACGTGTTGTATTCATATGTTGTTGTTCTGTAATACTCTCAGGTGTTACAGAATGTGTGATATCAGGAATATGTTTCTATTAAGTGAAAGTATAAAACAAAACATAAAACATGAATAATTAGTAATAAAAACAGTATACTCTACTGACACGAGTATAACACACTGTATCTTTGCCTGTCAAATGTCAAAGTGACTGCTCCAAACTAAATGGATTTCTATCAGAAATCAGCCAGTGGTCCAAGGAAAACGGTCTTACCTTAAATCCCTCTAAATGTCAAACGGTCAATCTCACGTTTAAGCATATATCTGACTAACCTAAACAAACTGGTTAGCACTCACACGAGGTGTGCAACATAGATGGCACTGAAATAGAAAACAAGTCAGAAATTAGATATCTTGGCATCATTCTAACTGCTGATCTTTCCTGGTCGTCTCATATCTTGATGATTTCTAAGAAAATATTCCGTCTCACCTTCTACATCAAGAAGTTAAGACATTCTGAAATAACCCAGCCCCCTTACTCTCAAGATTTGTTAACTCTTGTGGTTCCCCCTTAGTTTTTCCAGGGCCACTGAAGAAAGACTATACCTTATTACGTAGGGTGTTAAAGGTTGTCAGCAGGGTAGGGAATGTGCCACTCTACCAGCTTGTTAATATTCTGGTCGACACGCACTCGGACTCATGTGAAAAATGGGCTAAATCCATTCTGTCTAACTCACAACACCCTCTTCATTCACAACTCTCCCCTTGTATCTCATCAAGCAAAACCAGAAGCCTATATAGAAAATTACATGCTCGCACTAGTAAGTACAAAAACTCAATCATACCCTACTTAGCTCGTGTTCTGTGCAATAAAGAAAGCATTAGGCGTGATACCAACTCATATCATTTATAGGTACAACGTTTTCTTTCTCTATTTTCCTTTTCTCTTTTTTCTGTTATGTGCTGCTTTTTTTTCTTTTTTCCTTACAAACTCTATTTAAAACATTCTTCTTCGTTCTTTCACACTCTGTATATCTCGAACTTTTTGTTACCGCTTACGCCAGTAAATATGCTGGCATCTACTTTTCTAACACCTTCAAACACTCAAAACAAACTGAGATTACCCTTAATCTACGCAGAATTTTATCTATTGTTAATGTACCAACTGGATGCAATACTGTAGTAGAATGCTGAGGATTCCATTCTGTACAATATACAATATATACATACAATTTGCAGTGAAGTTAATCGCGTGATATTTTCTATTCGTCCAGAAACCTTTGTATGACTGAATGCCGTTCGACCTAAAGTGGAAAACTGATCCAATATGAGAGATATTTCCTTATTTTTGTCTCCTTCGAGAAATTCACAACATTTGTTTGTTTAAAAACCAGTTATATAAAAAATTCAGGAGTACATTTTTGATTTGACACTAGCAACTAGTGTGATGCGTCTAGTCCTCTGATTCGGGTGTAGACTGAATTCTATCATCAGTCAGGTTTTAATGTGACCACCACCATTCTAGCTAGCTCACCATCACGGTGCACATTAATTTGATGGTATTAGATGGTTGGAGGCAATCGGTCACAGGAAGCCTTGGACACCGCCCAGGTTTCGTGCTAGTTGGCACTCACCAGTCAGTCAACAAGGCGTATCTGCAACCTTGAAGGAATTCATGTCACTTCTGAGATTCGAACCAAGGGGCATAACTCAAGAACTCAAGATCTTATGTATTGAGAAAAAGATTGCCATTCACAATGATTACACGTTTCAGATAAACTACGTCTTCTTATTGTGTTGTCGAAATCCACAATGATGTTTTTTCTCTGAAGTTTGGTAGAAACTTCGGAAACGGCAGGTTGTAAATAATTTAAAGAGTCGCAAGAGTACCCTAATACTATTAGAGGTTATAATGTAGTAGATAAAAACACACTGAACAAGAAAAAATCATATGCAATATAATAATGATGCAGGTTTAAGGTAGCCCTAGTTTCAAGCAGGCCGCTGAATCGAATGATATCACTGCTAGAAAATAAAGAAAAGTGTTAGTGTTTTTTGTTGGATGGTGACTAGCAGTGGAATATCCAGGATTCGCATTTGATCCTATTTCGAAAAAACTCGAACTCGAACCCAGTACCCTTCGTTTCGAACACTAGTGTTCTGACAACTTTCAAATAAGACGAAATGCGCATTCGTGACCTCACTGCTAGTCACCATCCGTCAAATAAATCACATCACTGTTAATCCGCAGACATCAGCGAAGTATGCGCACCAGGAATCGACACATCAACAGAAGCTGAACATTTCGATTCAGTCACTCAATACGAAAAAAAACAAAAATTGGCCTAAACAAAGTAATACTGTGAATGTCTATTACAAAACCACACAAAAAGTAGTACATAATCTAGAGAGCCTTTTACCCAGCAGTTATTTTATGTTTAATCTCAGTTACCCGGGCTACAAGCCATGCTAAGTATGCAACAGCTGAGGATACTCCATCTAGTCACCTGGGTTGAAGTAGGTGGGTGAGGCGAGTCTCTGGACTAAGACTTATGGGGCTAAGAGCTGAATGTTTAAGCCACATAACCAAAACTCCACACATAGGAACATTAAACAGTGACCCATGAGCGAAATGACATGAAGATTTGATTGTTCAGTTATTTCTTCTGTTTTAATAAACAGGCAGCAGTTTGTCAACGTAAAGCTACCTCTAATAGTTTTATCGACAAGTGCCCAATATTAAGCTACAACTGAAAGACAAATGTAGGCGGGTTAGCTAAGCTCAAGACCTACTGAAGCCCCTTAATACACAGTCTGTTTCGAGCTGCAGTTTTCAAAGTGATGTATACATGGATAATTCTACCGCCGACTGTCTGTCTCTGTCTGTTTTCGACACAGAACTTTGCACCGATATGCACCAGTTCAAGTCGCCACACTCCCTCCTTGTAGCACAAAAAGCAAGAGAAGAAAGTACAAGAAAAGCATAATAGAGACAGTAAACAGGGGTGTGAGACAAAGGAAGAGTAATAACGAAGAACAAAATAGTTTCATTGTAAATCATAATTCACAAGGAGTGGATGCATCTACATCACTGAGAACGATTTCGAGCCATGTCACCAATTGTTTCCAACCTTTGTTTTTACTGTCCTGAAGACGCCAACCAGCCAAGTAGTCTACACCTTCCTACTTGGCTTAGACTAACTGTTGTAGATTTCATTGACTGGTGGCATGTTTTGGTTTGACCTCCGCTAGCTTTTTTCCAGTCTGACCCTATATCCGCTAACATTGCCCGTTGTCGAGGAATGCGATGACTAGGCTGGCATACGTAATACATGTCCTAATCTTCTCAGTCTTTGTAGATTCACAACTTCATCGATTGATTTCCCATGTTTACCTAGAACTCGACGCCTAACCTCAATATTGCTCACCGCCGACTAAGGTTGCACAGCACAACTTTCGAAGTCATTTTTTAACACTTGATCCTTGTTGTGTGAAAACAAAATACTTGGCGAGATGACCGTGCGAAGGAAACACTTTACTACTGCTAAATACCCATTCGTCCACCGATTGTAAGAATTCGTCTTCACAGCCTAAACATAGAGTAAGCAACTGGTTTTAGTCTAACCACCAACAAATCAACCTTATTAAAGTGGAAGGAGGAGCTGCAGGGACATCTATTGCAGCTACCACAATTTCTATAGGTTATCGCGATATTAAGGGCTTGACAATCAAATGAAGAAAAAACCTAAAAGTCGGCAAAGCCCAAGAGAAAAGTGAACAAATTTCACACTGAATATTAACAATAAACTATTTCTTTGGTAAGCGTCGGCATTGTACTATCCCTGTGTTTTACAGAGAATTTCATTTCAATAAGAACCAACTTAAGTCTTCATCTCATCTGTTTATAGGTTACCAAATCACAATGATGACGGTTCACTGAATCCACGTCTAAGTGGTTGAATAGTCAACGAGGCTTCGTCTCGTAACCTGAAAGTCCTGAGTCTGATCACTGGTGGAAACACAACTGCTCACTGATGGATACAGAGTCCTAAATTAGGACGAACTAGCTCCCTGGTTTTCAGTGATCTCTAAGCGATGTTGGTTTGTGATAAGATCTAACAACTGAGATAATGATCTGTGTTGAAATATCATAAAAGGGAAACGGTTAATTTTTGATACAAACTTGATATACGGTGAAGTAATAGAGCACAAAATGGTAAAGAGGTAAATCAAAAATATAGAGAAATGTCTACGCGACAACGGTTACCCACAAAAGTTCATGTCATGTTGAAAAAATGAAATGCAGAACAGTAGATAAAAAGCCTATCTTTCTGCAGCTTGCATTCAAAGGTGATGATACTGCTAGTAGAATAAGATGCAGACTGAACGCTGTCTCCAAAAGAAAATATCCAGCCACCAAGCTTATATGTGTGTTTATCAAACAACTAGTTGTTTGAGACAATCAAAAGTGGACAAATACCTACCTCATGTTACCTCCAACTGTGTCTACCAATTTACATGTACGTGCCAAAGCACATACATTGGAAGAACAGAGAGAAGGGTTAGTGTCCGCATTTATGAACACATACCAAAGAACCTGAGACTGAAAGGTCCACGAGCATGCATTAAACAGTGCGATTGCTCGTCATCTATTGGACACTGGTCATATTGTAGACAACCTGAAGTCGTTCAAAATAATCAACAAGCAAAAGAAACCTAGCTTGCTACACTTTGCTGAAGCAATTGATATCACACGACTTAAACGAAATCTATGTACGCAGATAGAGACAGTGATGAATCTCGCACTACTCTGGTGATAACAAAAAATATACAACTTTCATGAGTCACCTTCTTCATGTTTAGAAAATTCTACTCTCTCATCTAAACATGACTCACCCTACCTTGTTTCTTTTCTTTTCATTTCTCCATTGGCTATTAGATAAGACATTTTCTTTAGTTACGTAATCTACTTTTCTGTTGTGCTCTTTCTAGCTAAGCCTTGTTTCTATACACACACATATATATACGCAGCCCTGTTTTTTGTTTCCAAGCCTAATTGCCTGATTATTCTATAAATAGTCAGTGTTTGTAACTCTTAATTAGTTAAAACATTCTGGATTAATGTTACTTTTACTTCCTACCAATTACTCCTTGTGATCGTGGAAAAGTATGTTTAAATCTTTAATGTAATTCATATTTTTTTATCGTTCAGGTTGTAACCAGTTGAGAAGAATCCCCAAAATAATAAAAGATGAATTCATATTATCCTGGTACAATTGTTGTTCTTGCTTTGTTCAAAAAATATAGACATTTCAAGAAATCTCAACACAAAGTAGATGACGTCACGAATTGACATCACCTAAACAAGCATTAAAATCCATCGATTACATGGACAGTTGTTGATTGTTACGACGCTACGTCGAGGAGTTGACTTATTGGATTCCTAACCCAATGGTGACGGGTGATTGGTGGACATGGTCTTATTTTCATCTGGGAGTCCTTGGTGGTTCGATCCCAGATGGGGTAATGAGTGTACACTGCTAAACAGTCCCTTGAAAGAGGCGGAAAAACTGCTTCAGTAGACTCCAGAAGCAACACTCAGTAGACAAAGTATCGACTGTAGCTATAATTATGTGGAGGCGTAATAATAATTATTATTATTATAGATCGCTAAGTACTGTTTATGATTATAGGCTTATGTAAACATCAGTGTGAAGTGGATCAGTATGATCCGATAGAGCATGAGGAAGTTATTTCATGGTACTATGCACATAACTTGTATCAAGAAAATGATAAACTAGAATGCTGTGTAAATATTTAAAAAAACACAGCGAAAGTGATAATATGAACACACATACACACACAAATATACACAGAACTCACCGATAAATCTGGTATTGATCCAGAGAATTCCAGTGCCATTGAAACAGATGAAGGAATTGGTGTTTTAACTCCAGCAGTGTGTACAGATGCACCGGCTTCACTTAACTGATCAGTTGTGTTCGAGAAAAATGGATCATTATTATCACTAGCTGCATCCCCATCAGAGAGATAGGAGAATTTTCCTTCTTTACGATTAATTAACTAAACGGTGGGAGATTGAAAAGGTGTTGTCGGTTTTTGTGCGTGTATGTGGGAAAAGTGAAAGCAGAGGAGGAATGAGAGGAAAATAACAAGAGAGGAGAATTATCTATTAGTGAAATAATAATAATAATAATAAGGGCAAAATTGATAAGACGATACTCCTTAGTATGTTTCAACACAAGCGGATTTTAAAACATTACGTATAATACGCTAATTGGAATCCAATTACTCAGAACAGATTTTCTATATACCGAGAGATATAAGCTACACTTGTTGTGTAACAGGTAACGACACCACTTCACCTTATCAAGGCAGACTGAATTGAGTGAAAAACAATTCGAATAGGGTATTGATTTGGCCACGAACCACGAAATATGCCACAGAAAATTAAGCTAGATTGGATATACTTTGAGAAGACCGTTGAGTGCCATCACACGTCAGGATGATCGTCGAGTGAATACCGAATGGGAAACGATGAGTTTGGCATGCGTCCAAGCGTAGCATACAGGAGATCGTGCGAGCAGGGGATGAGAGCTGCTGGGTAATTGTGGAGCCAGCTAAGTAGGAGTAAAGAAAATAGGGTCAAGTGGAGATGTACTGCTGAAGCCTGCTGATTGCAGTTGCCCTTTGCTACCATTGAAGAGAAGTAATTACTATGCAGTAAAACATGAAATACCTGACATATACATATATTAAAGAATGAATAACTTATTCAGAGGGAAGTAAAATATGCTTTTCGTGAAATACATTATTGAATACCACGAAAAGTAACTCTATACAGTAACCATCATGTAATAAGAAAAAATGTCACAGTAAGGTGAATACTTATAACCGCTGTTAAATGGTAATAGGGGGCTATATCGCGGATTGACACAGATCAGTTGACCTAATGTGGAATGGAATTACATACTACAACAGTGTCCGAGTTATATATATATATATATATTGTGAAGTAAATTAATTATTTCGAGTTAATTTGTGAACTGTGTGCGTCGGTGGTATAGCGGTTAGGACGCTCGCCGATCATGCACATAGTTCAGGGTTCGATCCCCGGCCGGCGCACTCCTTTACCTCACTGAGCCAGAAATAATGCTGGTAAAGAGGAAAGATTGGGCATGAGGCTAGCAACCCCATCCTGTAAAAATTAAACACTGCTACAGAAACTTCAAGCCACTAGCTTGGAGCCCTATGTTCCACTGGGAACGTGAGGGGAAAATTATTATTATTTATTATTAATTTGTGAACTGATAACATTCAGTAGTATCCCGATTCTGAACTGATTAATCAGAAAAAGCTGGAGCTTACAGAATATTATATACACACAATGACTGTAATAACCAGTGCATATAGTGTGTTCAACAACACAGGACTATTCCGTCAAATGTTGACGACTGTTCATTTGAATTATTACGCAATTGAATTAAATTATCAAAGAAACTAGGTAATTGGCACAATCATCGTGTTTTCACTCTCAGTTGTCTGCAACGGAATGCGTATCCTAAATCCTTAGCTGTCCAGTCACCTGACAACTCTAGTAGGTCGAATAAAGCAGCTCAGTTTTCAGAAAGAAGACAAAGTAATAAGTTCGACAGGGTGCTTCAACTAAATTCTAATCCTAAACACCATAATTTTGAAAATACGTCTAATCATAAAATTCTAGATACTAACAGTTTGAACAGACATGAAGGTGTGATGTTAGATGACGCATAGGAAATCCTGATTAATAAATAAAAATGGATATGTATCACTAACTAATAATACTTGGTCAAAGTTCCTGACTGTCTATATCTACTTATGGAGACGTTAAGACATTGTTTTACAACTGTTTGTCCGCACACATACAGACTGTGTTTAACGTGTTTAACAAAGGTAGATCAATATTTGTAAGTTTGAGGTCAAATTTTGATCACAGCTCATACAATTTTGTTTATTATACTTGTTGATACTTGTTTTATGACTCATGATTGGACAAATTTTTTAAAAACAAAAAACGTTACTTTTATTTATAGACCTCTCTTATGTTAATTTCGACTAATTTCCCTGAAGAAGTTCGGACCAGATAGCCGAAGGCTGGAAACGTTGGAATTACTCATTTCAATCTCGCTGAGATTTTACAAATATAATTTCTTACAGATACCAATACATTCTAGTTAAAACTTTAGATTACTTTCTGAAAATGTAATATCTTCCCCCATTCTATAAGAATGATGGTAATTTATAAAAATAGAAACAAATGAAGAAGTATAATCTAAGTTATGTTATGGGTTTCCCAACACAAACAAACTTAGTCACGAAGAGTTTGAAGACAGATGCTATTAGGCAGTTGTTTAGAGGAACAAAATTCAGTAGACGCTAAGAATATGATAAACTATTACATTACATTAATTTCACCAAAAAGCAAATACTATCATCCATTCCATAATATTCAGGCGAGCTAGGAGAGCCTAGAGAAGATAGGGATCATGATGAAGAAACACAATACAACCAACAACAGCGGTAACAACAACAAAAACACCAATTAATATCAATAAGAGTAATCTAAAAGAAGTCGCTCCTTTTTGATCCAAGTGGCATCGTTTCAACTACAAACGGCATGAATGAGTAGATCAAAGGTCACCGGGATCAGTAAAGCAAGAGGGGAATCCATTTTTAACGTCAGTGTACTTTTGCATATAGTTCAGACACTTGGCACGAGCATCGCCAAAAAGAATTTTCAACAAAAGGATATACTTTATCAATCAATTCGTGATATAGTGCTATACTGACTAACCAATGTCTTCGCATCCATTTCGCTTGAACATGGTGGATCCCACTGGCCACGACTTGTGTGGTGAGAGCAGGCTGCTAGCCGATTGGTTGGCACTAATCTACGTTAAGGTCTAGGTCACTAATATGGGCCGTGAGAAAATATGAACAAGCCTGAGTCAACAACCAATCACAGCAAAGTTAACGTGGCAGAATATGATTCGCAGAGAGAACTCTATTTGTCAAGGAATCCCGAAACAACCAATCAGAAGCCTGCGTTTGTCTACCTAAACAACCAATCAGATGACTGCGCTTGTCTATAATAATGTAGTTGAAAGATGTATAAATACGTGTTGATTTTCATAATAAAACGATCTGTTGCCTGGCCCTTGTCTTCTGTTGTTACATTTGGTGTCGCTGCCTACCGACAAATGGAAAGCCTATGCCCTGCTGTTTTCGATGGAGACATATGGATCTTCGGGCAGGACTTCAAGGCTTCTGCGCAGTTGAGTGGCGTTCAAGATCTGTCAGCGATGGAGCTGCTACTTGGGACGCTGCGGGGAGGTCGGGTGAAAGCAGCATATGAAAGTGTGAGCCGAAGTATGGACGAATGTTCGACAGGGTCAGGCAAACAGTTTCCAAAGTGGGAAGGACCGTATATGGTCACTTCGAGATGGGGTTACGCAGACACAGTCGCAATGGCGAACAAGAAGAGGCGCGTGAACGTCAGCGAGCTCCAGAAATGGATACAGCGAGACAAGCCAACGATGACGCCTGCACCAAGTAGATCAAGCCGACTTCAGTCGCACGTATTTGACGGGGGGACGAGTGTGGTGAGAGCAGGCTGCTAGCCGATCGGTTGGCACTAATCTACGTTAAGGTCTAGGTCACTAATATGGGCCGTGAGAAAATATGAACAAGCCTGAGTCAACAACCAATCACAGCAAAGTTAACGTGGCAAAATATGATTCGCAGAGAGAACTCTATTTGTCAAGGAATCCCGAAACAACCAATCAGAAGCCTGCGTTTGTCTACCTAAACAACCAATCAGATGACTGCGCTTGTCTATAATAATGTAGTTGAAAGATGTATAAATACGTGTTGATTTTCATAATAAAACGATCTGTTGCCTGGCCCTTGTCTTCTGTTGTTACACTTGTCACTACTACAGCTTTAGGACATCCATCCAGCAGCCAGTCATCAATGTGTTGGCGATTGATATTCAGATTATGGGACTCGGATTAATTTCAGGGTGAGAAAGAGCTATTTCCCAAAATGACAAAGTTAGAAATCACAGGTCATCCATCGGATTCCAGTTCAAGTGGTTGAACGGCCAACAAGCTTGATCCCGTAAACTGAAAGTCCCAGATCCAATCCCTGTTGGGGTAGTGGGTGCACACTGCTGAAGAATCCCAAATGCGACTAAACACATGTCCAGTGAGTCTCCTTGTTTTAATGATATGTCTAACTGATGTTGATTCGTGACAAAGTCTAACAACTGAAACTGAAATTGGTTTGACTAAATCAAGGTCGTGTCCGAACCTGACCTTGGACGAAAAATATGCAGAAGGAAATGGAGACCGCTGGGTGACATCGTACATTAGACACTCAAGTGGAAACAGAACAGGAAACAACGAGTTGCGCGTCCGGGAGTAACATGGAGATTTTGAGAAGAGGTGGACACTAGTGGAGTCACCTAAAAATTACAGCAGAAATAGGAGTATAGTGCTTCTGAGGCCAATTTATTTTTTATTTTGATAGCAGCTTGATTCCACACCTTATTATTGATACAGGTATGGAATTTTCAGTATGTGATATCGGTAGCCCAAATCTTGCAGGCCGACGATAGATATCAGGTGTGCATCGGCAGGGGATCGAACCCCAAACCATGTACTTGGTCGGCGAGCGTCCTAACCACTGTGCCACCGACAAATAAAAGTAATGAAAACAAATACAACAGAACTACAATGGAAGATAATAATGCGGAAAGAAAAATAACCATGTGAAGAATAATAAAGATTTATCAACCCTGGTAGATCATAAGGTGTGCATTCATCAGCAATTGGTTTTTAGCATCCAGTGGTTCTAAACCAGCTCAAACCAACACTAGGTTCGAGCCTCGGTGGGGACATCATCATTCACCGAGAAATGCAGGTACATCCAGATGACGAGTCCCAAACAGGATGAAATGCACATCCTGGATTCCACTGCTAGTCACCATCCACCAGTTAAATTCTAATTAAATGCCCCGGCAT